TATTATGAGACTATTTATCTTTGGTACAAAGTGGTTACAATTAAAGTTGACCATTGGATGTGAAATTAGATGGTTGGACATATTCTATTGACTAAGCGTAAATTTCAAAAAAAACTTTCTTAAACTTTATGACACGCCCAAGCTATCAAATTTCATATTAAATGGTTGTTAGTAATTAGGACCTTCTTGTATAAAAAAATAAATAAACTATGCCCTGAATAAAGTGTGCGCTTCACATTTCACTGAAAGAAAAATGAAAATCAGGTTACGAAACATACATGAATCTCTTGGTTTGGTTTCACTTGCTTTTCAATTTGTGTAGAAGTTGTTGAGCCATGCAGCAGTTGAGGATCGAACCTGGCCCACTGTCATTAAACACCCATTTAAAAGTGAAACTAGAGCATTCATAGCTGCACCAACCAACCCCTAAACAAAATCCTTCTCATCCAATGGCAAAATGTATCATTACTATCAGCACCAACAATAGTTACTGTTATCATTACAATACTACTATTACAACTATTATTGTTGTTTTCATTATCATCTTATTAAGAAAAACTACGTCGGTACAATTTTTTTTTTTCTGATATAATGGACTAATCCATAAATGTGTCATCTATGCAGAGGTCTTGCCTGGCATTTATTTTATTTATTTTTATTTTTTGAACTTTGCCCTTTGATCGATATTTCAAACAACAGACCAAATATTAACTTTATTTTTCATTTTATTTTTGAAGTTCGGACTATCTCATAGGCTCGGGACCCATCGTGTAATCTCTCTAATGTTTCAAACATCAGACCAACCTAAAAGTTGTGTTATTATTAATCTTTTTAAGACTAGTCTGATGTTCAAAGCAGAATGCCTTAAACCCTAAAAAATGAGGTACAAATGCAGTTCAATATTTCTTACATCGCATTGCATTTTGAACTTCCTTTTTTTCTAGGTCTAAGGCGTCTAGTGTTTTGAACATCAGACCTATCTAAAATATTTGCATTAACCAAACTTTTACGGTTGCCCGATGTTTCAAACATCGGACTGACCCCAAGATGACCCTTTGGCCTATCGGACTATCCTAAACTTCTTAAAAAATAATATTTGGTACGTTGTTTGAAACATCATAGCAAAGAAAAAAAATATAATATATATATATATATATATATATATATATATATATATATATATATATATATACTAATAATAGAGGAGTAGTCTTATAGTNTACGTAGTAGTTAACGTTACGTTACGTACGGTAGTTAGTAAGTTAAGTTAGGTAGGTA